TGGACACTTCAGGTTAAGTCTTGCATGTCAGCAAACTCTCTAGAGTCTGGTTCTCCACTAGTGCATGATTAACACATATTAAAACAATACTTTGGGATTCTAGCCAGAGGGAGAAGCAAGGATAATGTATGCATGCATGACGACCAGTGACAAAAATCTGGCTTTGCACTCTTACGGCAATTGTCCAAGATCATGTCGCTATGACTCCTCCTCACAATCACAAATGGCTGAAAGCATCCAAAACCCTTGAGTGGATGATGACCAAAAAGGGATTCCTTTCCAAGAGTGACAAAAGGATCCTCAGCATAGATCTACAGCTTCTCATATCGAAAACACACACACAAAAAAAAAAAACGCGCGTGCGGAGATATCTTCTGTGCCTTTCTTAATAAAGTTTGCTTCCGTCATCCTTGGTGATCTTGCGAGTCACTTTTGGGACACTCCCCACAGCTGGCGAGTCACCCAAAACCATCTGGGGAGTCTCCTCGTCTGCGGAGCAGTGCTTTGGGGTTCCATGTTCGCCCTTGGAGCCACAACAAGCTTTTGAGATGTTTCAAACAACACGTCTCTCGCAGTGTCTGCGAAATCAATCTTTCCTTGAGAATCATCCTGTGGAAGCACCAGGATAACCCTAAACCACCACAATCACTAGTCTTGACAAACGGGAGGTGTGACTCCACATAATTATTCGTGGCACACGCGCACAACCCACGCTGACAGCTTGGTTGAAGGAACATCCTTCCCGGAAACTCACGTATCATTTCATCAAAAACCCAGCATCTTCCGCCGATCTTCCAGCCAGTCGCCCCCTGCAACTGTCCCGCAATGAATCGATTGCTACAAGACACTTCCACCATAGAGGCATTCTGTATCAGGTCGTTGTTTTCCCAACAACTACCACTTCTACCCCAGTAGTTCAGGTCCCACCACAATAATTTGACCTCCCGTTTGGAGGATGCGGAAACAACCATTGATCCCATGGGTTTGCGAGTTTCGACTCATGCCCTGGGGTTGGGGACCAACACAATCATGGAAAGCACACCTTTGGTATACAGGAACAACTGTCACAGGGGTCCCAAGATTCGGTTTGAATTCCTTTCCTTCCCCTCGTCAAGCAAGTGTCTGTCCAAATTCGGTCTTGCTGATCAAACCTTCGTTGTCAATATCCTGAGCTGCAAAGCCGTGGCCGATGTGGTGCTTCGAATTTCAAATTGAGAAACCGTTGGAAGACCTCCATGCCCTCCAAGAACGATCAACTGCATGTGGAACTCTCCACAAAGCAATGGGACCCAAGTTGAGGTGGTTTGCATTTAATGCTTTACAATCCATATATAAATCCCCATGGGGCCTACAAGGGTTTGTGGCACGAATCTTCTATGAGCCTTGTGGCACGAAGCGGCAGCTCCCCGAAGTGTCGGCTTGTAACTCTGAGGCCAGGCGCGACCAAGCGGATGAATCAATATCTTCAGGCTATGCTCATCATCTCCAAGCTGGTCGTCATCTGCTAGTCTGATCTAGTCTGCTAGTGTTTCAAGTAACCCCCTAAAACCTCAATCGATCACGTGTATCCATGTGAAGTGTCATCACCACAAACGCGTGTCATGTCATTCATCCTGACACCGACTCCCTTGCCCATCTGTGCCAGGCAACGACCAAATCGAACAAGGCATTTGCATCGCCAGGATAGTCGTGTCTGGTGAGGTATCTAACCATCCTCGGTGGAACTACTAGTCGACATGCTGCTGCAGGTCAGAGAGAGCGCCGGCCTGCGACACACCTCCTGTCAGATTCCTAAATGGTGCTCAAATCGTCACGTGGTGCTGCAGCAGAACTACCCCATTGCCGTACTCAAATGGAGCATGATGGAGCTAATGATGTTGTTCAATCTTCAAGGCATAGAGATGGAGATTCCTGCGAAAAAAGCGTCTATAGGATAATACCCTTCCTTAAAGCAAACAACTGACCTTCCAAACCCATCAATTGCCCGAAAAATCCATGGGTCATGTGTGTGTGTGTGTGTGCTTCAATAGGAAGACACCCTGGCCCTGGCTGGGTAGACTGCTCTATTTCCCGAACTGACCGGGATCTGAACCGGCGTCGGTCTGTTCTAAGACACACCATAGATCGATGTAATGTAGATGTACCCAAAACAACACCACCTTTAAGGGCCTTCCGATCCTCACGAACGCGTCTTTCGCTGGAACCGCTGCGGCCGAGAAGCTCCTCTCGAGTGACCTGAAGCTGCGCAGGTGCATGAAGCTTGTGGCAGTTGGAACAACAGCCATTCCACCTGGATCTCCTCCAAAGTGCTCTAGAAAATGGGACATGACCCGGCCCATATCATATATTTGGACAACTCGTATTGATGGGACTCCAGCTAGTTATAAAGGGGTGCGGAACTGAGTCGGATAGAGGTGCCCCTGTCACATCCACTCACTGGATGTGACTAAAAGCTACCCCTGTGTGACAAGCTGTGGAACATTTGCTGTGGAAAAAGCTTCAGGATTGCCCACCATCTCGTGGTAGGAGCGACAACATCGGACCTCATCTCCCGATATCACCGCCAACATCGCAGTGTGAGCTTTTATCAAAAGCGATTTTGTGGGACAATCACGAGAAATCAATGCAGCATCCCCCCTGACGAACTGATTCCTAGCCTGGCCATGTGTGCTTTGATGCTGTGTAATTTCCCAAGTTCTTTGGCATAACATTAACCAGGTGACCTCTGAGACCTGTGTACAGAATCTCAACCGTCCTGGAATAGATAGAATATGAAGCAATACAAGAACCCGACCCGTTTCCAAGTGATTTTCCATCTGCTCCAGGATGACAACACATATAATTTTGCTACAACATGTTACAAAGTATAGTTCGACTACCCAAAGACGATGCGCTTCACCCCGCTGCGCTGGAAAACAAGGAAAAAAGGAAAACACCGCCGCGCCTGGCCATCGTTGCCTCCGCCCAACTCCTCGAAGGCTCCGGTGATGCCGTTCTTCCCCTTCTTCCGGGCCTCGGCCAGCATCGTGTCTTTGTAGAACCTCGGTGGGTCAAAAACACAGGGTGTTGGTTGAGTCGGACTCGTCGAAGACACAGGGTGGTGCCTTTTTGGGTGAATAGATCCAGTTATACACGTACTGTCACGTACTCCGTTTGCGCCTTAACGGTCCGATGTTGTCGCTCACTGTCTGGAAGGATGGTGGAATTCCCAACAGGTGGGACCTGTGCTGCACGCACCAAACACTGAAGAAGGACTTCTTTGGGTTTGGGGTCAGGTCCCCCAGTGTGTTCTAGAGGAGGCATTTCTGTGTCTGCACTGTGTTCGGTGTCGCCTCCCACGTGCAGATCTGCGTAGCTCAGCTAGCCGCTGCATCTGTTCGCAACGAAGCTCCGTTCGCAAGGTGTCCAGGAGTAGAAACGGAGGCCCCCACGCCTACACTGACATCATGAGCCATGGTGAACATCATGAGCCTTCTAGGACTCACAGGACATTGGTCTAGGCCTTCTGGGTGGCCCGCACGGTTTCCCCGGCAAAACATGCTCCACCGCGCCCCGCCCCGTTCTAGTGCGACGGTCGCTCCTGCCGGGGCACTGTTTGAAGGTATTGAGTTCCTGGCGAAATGCGAAACGAAGACGGCCGGATGACTGCGGTGGTGGAGCTTCCGGGTGGACGTACCAAGGTTCATGGTGGTTCCACGCATCTTGGAACAGGCAGTCAATCTGGTACCATTGACTGCCTTGTTTCATGGAGAATTTTACTTGATCAACAGCGGACTAAAGAATTGATGGTTGCTGTATATGTTTCAACCGATCAAAGAAAAGGAACCAGAATGGGAGACCTGAAGCCCGTTATTTGACGAATGGAGACCTGTTTAACAAATGTGAGCCGCTGCTTCCAAAGACCCAAAGCACAAACTTTGCAAAACAGTTGTATAACTTACTAGCAAGGGGTTGGGGAACTCCCCATAGCTCCGAACGGCGGACCCTGGATTTGTTGGATACCCCATGGCCGTAGCTCCCTCCCTCGCTCCCTCCCTCCACTTCAGTCGCACCTTCACAGGATCTCCCATCTTCAGCTTCGCACATCGCTCACAGCTGCAGCGAGACCCCATGGCCGACTGTGGAGAGTTGAAGGGTTGGGGTGAGAGGTCCTGAGGTCAGTGGATGGACTTTCATGGAAGTAGTAACAAGTGAACTTCGTGGCATGCCAAAAAAATGTGTTAAACATCATATCAATTCATATTTATATATATAAGCCTTTAAATGCCTTTAGGCTGCCATCTTCAGTGCCGGTTCTTTGGTTGTCATCCTATGTGTGGGTGTCGGATTCTTGCATTCTCGCGCAAAGGAAGGAGGCGGTTGTTCGGTTCCTGTGACTCCTGGGGCAGGATACTCTCCGCAGTTCGAAGAAAAGAGCTCAACAAAATCAGGTGTGGTGAGATGCTTGAGGTTTACATCCTTCCGTGGTTTGTTCACCTCGTGGCAATTATAAATTATGGCTTTTATTCAAATTCCTGTTCAGCATGCCAGCTATGCTGAAGAGCCAATGTTTCGCACAACACGCACCCACCGTGCCATCATGTGCCATCCACCGTGCTGCCTGAACCGACACATGTCCTGCGCCTCGCCTGCTGGCCATGTCCGGGTGTGCTTCGCTCCCCCCACGTGGCCCGAAGTGGCCCGACGAGAAGCTTCCGGTCGTGAAACAAGAACTCCAACGTCCAAACGACTGGTGAGTGGGTCTTCATTTTGTCAAGCAAAGCTCAGGAAGAAGATTCCCAGGTGCCGACTGTTTAGTTCAACTCTATAGGAACGGCCTGTTTTTTTTGAGGGGGCAGATTTTGACCTACACTTCAATATAGACGAACTGGTCTAAGAATTGGTATCTGTATAAGCAGTACATCCAAGTCACTTCTTCCACACCGCAGTCATGTTCCTGTTGGGCGTGAACTGGAGTGCGACATGCCCTGACCCATCGGAGAATGAATTGTCCAAGTGACGTTGCAGCGATCATGGCCACAGGTCCTTGACAGGTGCAAGTAAATAAACATGTTAAGTATTAAATCAAGATGTCAAGTATGATCAAGTGCTATTGCAAAATGAATAGGGCGAACGAATCAACTGTTTGGGGATGCCAAATATGTCACTAAGACAACAAAAGGGCCTCTCTTTGAGTGCCCAGCGCTGTGAAAAAACAGGGTTATGTTCGAATCTTGGCGTTAAGGTCGTCTGCAGTTCCGGTGGCTGGTGTGCTTCTTTTTTTCAGGTCTGAAATGGACGTGTCACAGATGTTAGGGTGGAACATGCCACGGTCCTAGTAAGGTCCTTCAAAGGGCCTTCATGTCTTCGGTAGCTTCTCAAACCAAGGTCAGTGCGCCACGAAACGTCTACCGCTTGAGTCGGATGTTTTCGGTCGTTCGCTCCTCCGACCACCGAAGATCCCCATCACCTTTCGGTCTCATCCCGGGCGTCCCAACATGATTTCCGTCGAGGCCTCGGCTCAGAAGCCATCGTGAAGATCTGAGTGGAGGTGTCCACGGTCGTCTGGTCACCAACCCTCTTAAACACACCTTGAATTAAATCCACAAATTAAGAGACATGACAAATCCACACTTGGAGTGGATCCACGGTTTCTGGACTAGGAATAAAGCTCCACAGTTTCTGGAGTGGATTGGACGAAGGGCGCCCACCCAGGACAGCTTGACACCTCTGACATATGCCGTGTAAATACTACGAGCGGAACCCAGTATCATATGCACTAAACACTGCATGGGGGAGAGAGCCAGTGATAGAATTCTCTTTGGCCCTCGGTCATGAGGCACGAAAATCCATCATCAACAGCAACAGTTGAGGAATTGGCAGGCTCAGGGTGATGATTGGATTTCCCTGCCTGCAAAGCATAAACAAAAAAAACACTCCCATCAGAGGCAGGGGAACCAGAACCATGCCCCCCATCTGTAAGCATGTTCTGTTCTCAGAATGCCTACAGGTTCTCCTGCACCACCGAACTGAACGGCGCTTCAACTTGCGCCCAGGGGGCCACACCACATGGTAGCCAATATGAAGGACCTGCCGCCGTGAAAACACGTTGATTCCACGCGCGGACAACAATTCATGACTCAACCGCCAGTGATTCTTCTTCAAAATGGTAGTGATGTGGGCTTTCTCCAGGTTTGGGGAATGTTTGACCCAAAGCAATCATATGGCCAGTTTGCAGGATGCACATGGCTGGTTTGGGAATTTGCAACTCAAATACCAGAATTGATGTTTTGTCACCCTGGATATCCTAGATCTTCCTAGATCACTATCACACCATTTACACCACCTGAACCTTCCTTCGCTACCAAAAAAAAGCGCTCGTTTTGCAAAAGTGCTCGTTCAAGCAAAAAACGCTACAAACACTCAAAAATCGCACGTGGACCCCTCTCATATCCAACCCATGTTGGGGTGGTTCGCCACTTTTTAATTTGCGCTCGTTTTGTGGCAATTTGCACGCGTTTTGCGGCATTTTGCGCGCATTTTGCAAGTCTCCACCTTTGGCCCAAGAAGACTTCAGTGTTCAACATATGCTCGTTTCATTAAAACTCATTCAAAAGTGCTCGTTTCATCAAAAAACGCTACCAAACTCCAAAAAGTGCTCATTTCCTTGGTTCGCCAGAAAAAAGTGCTACGATTGAAGGTTCAGGCATGTTTCATCCGGGGTCCAATTTCTCAAGTAGGCTTTCTTCCGGACTTGAACAACCCCAAACCGTCCCTGGCGCCTCCCAGAGTGGATCATGTCGCTCGGCACGAAGGCGGAGCTCGTGGAAGTCGTCCACGAAGTTCGGGCAGAACCTGCCGCGAGCGGCGGAGCTCAGTGGAGCGCCACGCGACGCGCAGCGTGGAACACCACTTGTTTTCGATATGCTTGGGATCCATTTTCAAGGTGCATTTGGTTTGACCCCTGATTTGCATTGACTGGCTGCTTTGACTCAGAGTTCACCTGACTGCATTATATGGCATTCCTCCATTAAGTGACAAAAGCAAGTGATGAACCAGCATGGACTTGCGAAAGCTGTAGGTAGGTCGTATGCAGAAACTACAATACTTTCAAGTTTCCTTGCAGGTGGAAAACACTCATGCAGCAATGGAATCTAGGGATTGTTTGGCAGAAACCAAACGTTGTCCACCCATTGATGGGGGAAGGTGGTGGCTTCTGATGCAATCTGATTCTGATGCCTGGCAAAACAGGAGCTACAAATAAATTGACTTTCCCTTCCTTCTCCCAATACTGCAAGACCAACAGGAGTCGAAATCAACTCAAATCCTTGACATGACACAGTACGCCGCTGTTACACCATCCTATTCTCTCGATCATCTTCCAACAAAAAATAGTAATCTTGCTACATGATCAAGCAACACTCCCACAAAGAGGCATCGGAAGATGAGTCTTCCAGCTTTGCATGCCAAGCTGGGGGAAAGTGACATGCCTCTGATGAAGTCATCCATCCCCCAAGCCCGGTTAAGCACACCTGGCATCGTCCTCGCAAATCAAATAGACGTGGCTCGGGTCCTCAAAGGTTTGGAACGTTGACAGCCATTCATTGCTGAATTCTTCGGAGACATCTCAAAGCCATGGCTCGTGCATGCTTGTGCTAAGGAACCGCCATGTGTGGTGCGTCCTGATCACGAAGCACAGCATCCAGGGTGTCAAACCTGGGGGATGGGCAACACGTGACATGACAAAGCCGAGTAGGTGGGCAATGCATTTGGTGCATGGACATGTGATGCATTGATTTGAAGGCAACAGCAATGTTCACCAAAGAAAGAACCTCTCCCTGGCTAGGAGACCACTTCACCATCATCTGCGGAGCGGGGACCCTAGAAAGGTCAGCACAGCACATGTTGTTTCTCAGGTCCGCAGCAGCACAAATGGTGGAACTGTGGAACCACCATCCAGTGTCATTCAGATTTGATGCGTGTCATTCAGTGGAGACGAATATGTCCAGCTGCGTTTCTCAAAGAACTGCGTTTCTCCGTTGAATCGAGTGATATCCGATGCTTCTTGGAGAATATGTCCAGCTCTAGCTGATACGTAGGAGAAGTAGTTCCAAGCTGTTGTAGACTCTTGATTAATCATATCCCCCTTTTTGGGATTGGAAACCCTCTTCAGGGGATATATTAATCAAGACTCTACATTGATCGCGTGGATGACCCGCCCCAAGTGATTGACTGAGATCCCCGACCAAGTCCAAGCCAAGCCAATGGCCCCCTTGGTCAGCACGAAGCCCAGCACCTTTGTCCGAGCTCTTTGGGCGTCCTGGGACCCGGCGGCGGCATCCGGGGCATCGGACTTGCTACACGGGGCATCCGGTGGCAGGACCGGTTTGGACGGTTTGGATCGATTTCGAGGATTCTGCCATTAACTCTGCAATTACATATATATATATACATAGTAGGAAAACCGCCAAACATTCGAAGGAATCCCAAGAATATATTTAATTATGGGATCTGGATTCAAATGCGAAGATTCAGTCGGTTTGTTTGTGGCCAGATACTGAAGGGGTTGGCCAATGCTGCCTGGTTAACCCTCCAAGTTCATACCAAAGAATCTCAGTTCGCTCACAGGTGAAGCCGGCAAAAACAAGGCAACTATTCGGTGTCCCAATTACGCCCAGTAAGCATGCTGCATGCTGGACCTACACTGAATATTTGCCTATGTCATACCAAAACCACTTGTCCAACTTGTCCTGTCAATACCTGCCACACCACCCTGATAGCTCATGATGTGCTCGTGATATGCTCATGATATGCTCATGGGATGCGGATGTTGGCAATGTCAGATCTCTCCTTCTCCGCTCCTCGATTCCTTGAGGCTCCACGATGTCCTCCGGCACCTGCCCACTGGTGAAAGAGGATGCACCAAATCCACGGTTTGAAACACAACGTGGTGTATCCAGGAGTGCAGAACCAGGGCTTTCGTCTTTTGTGCTGTAACTACTGCTGGAACTGTTATCTCTAAGAACTTCCCAAGAACGGCTCCATCCATTTCATGCCATTGACTGCGGAACACCCGGACCAACGACCAGTTGGTCTCTTGCACGCAGCGACCGACCCTTGAACCAACGCGACCGACCCACGCACCTCGGCCAGATCCAAGGACGCGCCATCGATGGCTTTCACCCACTCCACCTGCTATCTCCGGAACGGATCCAGAAACGGATCCAGAACGATCCGCTCGCTTTCGGACTTCGCGGCGGTACAAGCAGCGTTCCGGATTGAGTGGCTTTGAATGCTACAAGTAAGTTGGCTGTGGTGTTGAAGTTTCTGCTGTAGCTGCTATGCCTGAAGAGGGGTAGCAAGAAATTGAGAGTCAGCACCCTGATAAAGAAGACATTTAGCATACCAAAATCGGTTCAGAGATGTTCAGAGAGTTCAACTGTTGGCTCTGAGAGTAGGAGACACGATCTGAATATGAGCAACAAGAAGTTCCAAACCGATTGTCTAGCAGTTGCCACACTTAAGCATGTCAGGAAAAAAAACACAATAATAGGTTTACCACACTCTTCTGTTTCAGAGTTATCACACATGTGAACACTTGGGAGTCCACAAGTTGAAGAAATACACCACCGGGCCTTGCAACCAACTCAACATCCACCTCTGTGGCCGCACTGCCACACACCTCGCGCAACTCGCGCCCGAGCAGCCCGGACTGCGCCCGCGCACGGACGTCGCGCGCGCCCGCGACAGGAGCTCGGGAAAGCGTTGCAGCTGCTCCAGAAATTGCCGCCTGCGACGTCGGGCGGCGGTCCTTTCAAACGGTGCCGTCCCAGCCGGTCGCCACATGTGGAGCCGAAGAATTAATATTTGTGTTGAGGAAGTCTGACACGTTGTCGTTTCTCAACGTTGTCCACACAGAAGTTGACACAAAAGAATCGCTGCCTCGACATTACCTGCTATCTTCTCTACAACACACCACCGCCAAGCGGTCTACTAGTGCGTCTTTGGTATGGTGCTTGTGAAAAGCTCTGGGCACCATCGCAAAATCCTTTTCTCTCACTCTGCAGCTGCCAAGTACCAAAACACAATATTAAGATATATTGAGTTGCTTCGCGACGCCGTTGAAGCCTCTCCTCTGGTCATGTGATTTGCTGACTGTCACTTGACCTGTCACTGTCACTTGGAAGTGGATAGGGCTCAGGTCCACACAACCTTTGCCCAGAGTCTTCAAGCGTCCAGTTCGAGACATCGAAAAGCGCGACTGAAGCTTTCAATGATTGGACGTCGAAGATGCTCTGCAAGACTTGGATGCTGGTCTTGATTGGCCACTTTTTCCGACACAATAGAGGACGTGTCACACCGAACAAAGACAACCAAATCTCATCAACATCTCTCGTCCATGTCTGAGCATTCTCAATCTGATTGATATGTTCAACAAACTTGTCCACATCTACCAGGATATATTTGTCATTAACCCAGGACTTGATGTTCTTGTCTACGTGAGCTGAATAGATGCGTGTTTCGAACTTGCAAGGCTCTGCACTTTGACACATGACGATGTTGAAAAAGTGCGAGAAGTGGCCCTGGTGAGAAGGATCACTGGCCTCTCTGGGATTCTCTTGAGCAAATATATCTGTCAGCATCACTGTGAGCGTCACCCCTGCATCTTCACATTGCCGGAGGATCTCTTTGGCAGCTTCCACTTCCATCTTGAGAACATTCTCAGTGGCGTTCGGCTGCTTGGGAACACCAAAGTCACCTTGCAAGCTCTTGGAACTGAATTTCCTCTGCTCAAACTTGGCGTCCTCGGTGTAGGGGGACCCCAGCATCCCCACCAAAGTTGACATCGCCTTGCATCCACCTAATGGATACAATGTGGCTGGCTGTCCGAGACATGGAGGAAGGCGCATGGGGCGACCACGTGCAAAGTCTTGGAGGAAGGCCTTCGACAGTACAATCCCTTCAAACACTCCGTGAATTGCCGATTGAAATTCTTCTCCTTGCGACAAGAGATCGCAAAGCGCCGCATGAAACTGTGTGCCAAGTGTGTCTGGCATCTTGGCATCAAAAGTTTCTCCTGCTTTCCGTGCATTGGAAAGCATGCGCTTCGCTCGCATGAAAGGAAGGCCACAAGCTTCTGCCAGTTCTTTCACGGTCATCTCAGGGTTGGCTTGCCGCGCTGCGATCAACTGGGAAACTTCCGATGGTTTCTCAGTTGCCATCGAATCAAATTCTCGTGCCTTGAAAAATCCTAGGCTTGGCAGGCTGTCACACCTTGGGCCAATTATTGTCGTAAAGGTTCAGCAGTGTACGGCCATGTATGACATGTTACATGGGTCTTGTGCATTCTTGTGCCTTTGTGACGTGCACATGTTTATTGAGATTGGATGATTGAAAATCCATGTCTTCAAGAATTCCTATAACTCTTCGGGATCGCTTCTGCCGCTTCCGACACGAGGAGCAAGAAATCCCACCTTCGCACGGCTTGCCGAGCCAGGCTGAAGAGCAGAACACGATGGATCTCGTTGGGCCTGGCGCCGGGAGGAGCCCAGAAACACACAGGAACGCATTTAATATGCCCTAAATATATGCTCTAATCAGGGTTTCCGGACCCACCATTTTTCATGGTCTTTAGACAACAAAACCATGGATTGGCTGAATTGAACCTACAAGTGACTACAACACCAGCTCAACCTTTCGTTGAATGGTTTTGGAAGGCTATAGCGGCTAGTCTGGACCCTTCACACCTGCGGTTTGCTAACTATAACCAAACAAGATCGACTAGGGCTAGGGCTGCAAAAATACCCCAGGCTCAGGGATAAGTCCACAAGCTCGCAAGAGGAAGGAACACACACCCTTTGCAATAAATGGAGCAACTTGCCAATTGAACAATCTTCCAAAACAAGGTTGCCCTGGTAAGTTGTGGAACCAAATCATTAGGGCATGAACAAAAATCCACACATCTTGCATTCTTGTCGCGAGGAGATGTCCTTATACAGTAATCCTGTCCAACATGGATTACTCCGTGTCCAACCCTCATCAACCTTCTTCACCCTCTTCGTTTCCACCCCAAAAAATGAAGGTTGTTGAGGTTTCCAACCCTCTTCAGCAGGATGATTAGCCCTTCTTCACCAACACATGGAGGTTCCCCAACTCGTGCCCCCACGGTGACCCGTCCCATCCCCTCGCCTCTTCGCCGGCGCGGTGCGATCACCTAGTGCTCCGCGGGTGCGACGCGGTCCAGCGCGGGGAGCGGCACGAAGCATGTGGGGTCGAAGTCCACCAGATCTCTTCAAGCAAGATGGGGTCTTCTTGCTTGAGATGGTGTTGATGGCGACCCCACATTGGGATTTTTGTTGAGGATGGTGTTGACCATTTGCTTCAACCAATCAGGCGAAGCCATCAACCAATCAGAAGGAAAAGTCATGACAATTCAATGATGGCATTGAACATGATCTTAGTCCCATAGACTATATGAGGTCTTCTTTACTGTGGAACTGCGCCCATCCCACCCTCCCCTCCAAGCGCTTCCACTCCCGGTGGTTGCAGTTCCCGTGGCTCCCTGCGCAGCTCTCGAGCGCGCTGGAGCAAAGGGCGCAGGGGCGACATGGCGTCGTTTGGCCCTCCGGTTCGGTGGAGAAAATCCCGTCCTCTTCGGTTCGGTGACCATAGGTGACCCGAAAAAGGACCCGGTCAACCGGTATCGGATAGTCGAACCTTCAATTTCCTTCAACCTCTGAGTAGATACAAACCTAAATGGTGAACTCTATCCGCTGTGGACGGCAATCAAAGTGTGAGGCTGCGGACGACAGCCGTGGGTTCATCCTGCTTCATCATGCTTATTCGTGGCTGTGTTGTCTGATTTTCCGTTGGTTTGTAGCGGTTGGTTCGTGGTTTGATGGTTAACGGTTAGTCGTAGTGCTATTGGTAAAGGCGGCAGTAGAGGTAGTGACTTAGTGGGTGGTGGTAGTAGTGCTGGTGGAATTTGCTGCTAGATTGCTGCTAGTATGACAGGGGTCTTCGTGAAGAAGGCACCTCCTCGATGGACCTCATGGATGCTGTCAGTGGCTAGTGACAAATAGTGAGTGCTTCTCTGGCCTGAGATGCACTTCATGCATTTTTCTGGCACTGATTGGTGGTGGGTGGTGCTCAGTAGGCCATGGTTGATCTTGAACTATCACCATGTTCATGTTCATTAAATTGAATGTTTTGGAATCGTTTCGGAAAGCCAGGCTCATAGCTTCGAATTATGCATACTTGTTTCATCCCATTCTACATGATCAGTTGCTGGTTCTTAAGTTAGGAAAGAATCTTCTATCTGGAGGCGGCCAAAATTAGGAACGCACACACACAGTTTATATATATATATACATATATAGCACTATGAGACTATATGTTATATATATATATGACTTATATATACTTATATGACTGTTTCCCTCCCTCAAAGCGATCCTGAAGTAGTTTTGAAGTGCCTGGTCAGTTTTCTTGGTTTGCATGACAACTGATAAATGATGATAGATGCACTGTAGAACTCATCTTTCTTCTCAAAACCAGGGAAAATCAAAGGAAATCATCCGTTTATGCCACTACTCCCATGAGTACGCGTTGTCTTCCTGCCGTGCCCCTCCTGCCGCTCCTCGCTCTGGTTGTCAGCTCAGTTGCGAGGCGTTGGCGTCGTCGAGGTGAATGCACCGAATTTGGTCGTCGACCGTCGATGGACATCATGCACAAAGCGAACAACAACTACTTTGCTGTGCGGCATGTACAACTGGCATGTACAACTGATGCAACGAACAATGAGTTGCTGAACAAAAAAGGATTTGGACATCTCGTGGTGCAAAGTTCATGGGACATCAACGGGCCTGAAAAACCTCAAAGAGACCTCAACGACCAGCGACCAACACGATTGGTTCCAAAAAAACTACAATCGGGCAGCACGCCCCAAGGCCAATCATGGGCCACCTCCCTCCTGCACAATTCACAGCCATCTTCATCTTGGCTCAGTCATCTTTCGTCTCTTCATTGAGACGGCGCCTTAAGGGTTTCAGCTCCTGACGGCTTCAGTTGCGGGTCAAAAAGCCTTTTGAGGATCAGTTGGTGGAACGGTCTGGTGTACCCTAGTGTAGTCTCTCTGCTTCATTACTTGTGTGCGTGTTTTTTTTTTTCCCGTGGGGTGGAGGGGCAGCAGGGGCAACTGATTGTTTTCCTCATGAACTCGTCCTGATCTTTCACATCAATAGAGGTGCCAGCCGCACTTGTGATAATGATTCAACAACAATTTCTTTACTTCGAGTGATCCCCACCATGACATTTCAATCATTTGTTTTCATGCCATGGTGAGAAACATGTTGCCATGGCCTATGGTTGTGGTTTTCGTTTTTGGTTGTGGGTCCTCGGGTTTGGGATTATTAATATTTTAGTGTTAGGGTGTTTGCACCGGGGTGTTGCCAGGGTCTCCAGGTCAGCATGCACAAGCGCTACCCTGTGAGCACTTGCCACGCAAAATGCCACACACAGAGGTAACTATATTGTCGTGGTTGTGTGGTTGTTGTGTGTCTGTGGTTGTGTATAAGGTTCTGTGGTTGTGTGGTTGTGGTTCTGTTCTGGGAGATGAACCTGTAGATGTATGTGATCTGTGCTGTCTGCAAGTCGTGTTTCCTCTACCCCTCAAGTCCTTGCATGACTAGACTGATACTACCAACTACCAACACACAATTTTCAGGGTAGTGGGGTAGCCCATTTTCACACAACCCCACACTCTGACAACTCCAAGGCTTTTGGGGCTCAGGTCAAAGCAATAAAGCTAACAAGTAGGGGGCCCCGTGCTTGTTTGAGAGCTAGGGCCAGGGAGAGTGTTGATTGTGTGTTTGTGGTTGTGTGTTTGTGATTGTGTGCTTGTGATTGTGTGTTTGTGATTGTGTGTGTTTGTGGTTGCGTTTGCGGTTGTGTTTGTGGTTGTTTGTGATTGTGCTTTGTTTTTGGCTATGTATGTGATTGTGTGTTTGTGGTTGTGTTTTGTAATTGTGTTTTGTTGGTTGTGTATGGTGTATTGTGTGTGTAGTTATGTTTTTGGTTGTGTGTTGCGTGTTGAGGTCCGGTAGTGCCCACAGTGATCTGGCACTTGCAGTTGATGTCCGTGCAGCGCCCAGTGCGATCGGGAGCTGGCGATTGAGGTGGCGCGGAGGAGGAGGAGGAGGAGGAAGAGGAGGAAGAAAAAAACTATGATACAATCTAACAACCCTCAGCTGGCGAAGGGGAGCAAGCGCGACCCATGACCCGATCCATAAAACTCACTTCAGGGACTCTCCGGAAGCTCATGACCAGTTGTGAGGTGCTTGCATTTGCATGGCGGGAGCTGCAAACATCCTCTTCCACTGGAGGCTTCTCTTCCTCTGCTGCCTGCACAAACAATCCAGCCAAACAAGGATACCAACTGCTTGGGAGGCCAAACTTTAAATAGGTTCGATCTAAGAATGATAGAATTGATTCGATCTGTTATTCAACGGCCCACACTCGGAGGCTCATCCCCTTATCTGCACAGGGTACCAGGCTGATTCGCCCGCCCTCACGCCTGCGCTCGTGGCCAGGCACAGCGGGCTACCGAGCGGCCGACCTCAAGGGCCTCAGAACTGCTGTGGAAGAGCCAACATAGAGTGCAAGAATGCTCACATATATGCTTAATTACTGCTTCTCTTTGTCATGTGATTTTTCTTTTTTTCCGTTGGAAGTGAGACATGATCTTTTGTGGTGAATTTACAAATCGGACATTATCGCCGATTGGTCAGGCAAATTACAACACAGGAAATCGATGGCACGGCGACGAACGCCGTGGTTTTCGGTTGACACCACGTCGCCGTGGTCAACTCTCAGCCCTTGACATTTGCGCCCCGTTCTCGGATGCCGCCTCAGTTGAGGAGATGCTTCGAGCACGTCTTATTCAATTGGATATGTCACAAACAACGGCACAGGGTCAAACACGCAACTATTAAATATATTGATTTCTAGCAATACCAAATTTACCAAGACCATTGATCACAAAATGTAGAATGAATAATAGTGCAATGCAAAGTACGTCTCTCACGATTGGAGCGTTTTTCTGGGCGTTTGTCTAGCCTCAAACAACACAAATTACATAGATACCAACTCATATTCAAGGAGCAGAAATAGTCCAAACACCGCGAACTGTCGAATGCTTGGTGATTCCTCATACTCTCCGACCTCCAAACCCAGCAATGAGGGATGGAAGAAGTTTGGCACCCAGCTTGGCACCCAGCTCCAAAAGCTGCCCAAGGCTTTGATCATCCCATTGTCATCCGACCTCGACCGTGAATCACTAGGCGGTCCAGGCGACCGGGTTGACCAGGCGACCTAGTCTTGCCTAGTCTTTCTGACGCGTGAAGTTTTTAGGCCTTTGATTTAGAACAGTCGTAAGCTTATGAAGAATCAAACAAGATTCTGCAAACAAAATGATTGGGGTCAATGTACAAGTAAACAACAAAACATAACACACAAACATGATCATATTCAGCAGGAAGTTCGGAAGGAAAGGGCAACCAACATGTGCTAAAACATGAGATCTGCATATATCATGGATGACTATACATGCTCACCAATTTATATAATTACATGCGTTGACCGCGCAAGGAACTTACAACATTTAAGTGCAAACTTCTCTTGACTTACGCATGGGTCGAAACCAAACAAACAACATAGGTGGCAGATGGTTGCAGTCTCTGCATGTATAGGATTCATTTGTTCGTTCTCCACTCGCATGTACATGCATGTACAGGGCTTTGACCTCCAAGCTTTAGCTGCTCTACGGCAACGCAAGTGCGAGACTTGGCCAAGACACATGGTTGCTCTGGCTGCAGCCTGTGACGCTGAGCGATGCAGGCTGCACTTGCAATTATTGTTTGGCATACGCAACATGCGTGGAAATGCGTGGAATTCATAGGGTGATACGCCACCCTCAGAAGTTGCGTCTGCAATCTCTGTGGTCTCATGCATTTTTCAACGGATGTGCGTTGAGACACACTTGACGCTTTTTGAACCAATGAGAGCAACAGTGTTCCTGTATTTCACTTGGCTGATCTCATCAGCTTGCTCACATGTTCCCGCTCCTGAGCTCCTTCCCATTCCCCAACTCTGGCCGTCACAGCAAAACAATAACGCACAAACGCTCTGGACCAGCAGCGCACGAAGCCGCGAACTCTGGCCGCCTCCAAGGTTTTCAATCGCCGTTCGTAGAGTTCCTGTGCCTGCGAACGTGTTGGGTGACGCTAATTTCAGTGCCGTCTGGGCAGGGGAAGTACCACCGAAGCGGATGAACAGCTCCATCTTTCCGTCCATCCGCAACAAACAGCCTCCATTGGTGAGGCTGTTTCAGTGAGATGACGACCATCGATGGATTCAGTGGGTTAGCTTTCCGTCGCCACATGCTCTGAATTGCGACCATGTTCCGAATAACAGGTGGTGAACTCCACCTCCCATGATTGCTCCCCTGCATTGACATGGACCCCCAAACCCACTTGGTTGGTATTCGGAAAATGGTCAAAACCACGGGTGAATTCTCAAGTTCCATGTTACCCTGGAATCATGAACAGTGGTTTGTGGAGGAAGATATAG